GAGATTCTAGTAACCTTGAAACAACGAGATGCCCTCAATATAAGCACGCTTAAAACCATTTACAATGTACGCCATCGAAACAGGGTCGTACAGAGAGCTGGAAGATCACAGATGCAACACTTATTGGGTGAATTGACCAAGTATAATTACATTGAGCGCCATCGATGTGAAGAGTCCACGATGACTGTGACAGACTTGTTTGGGCACATCTTACTAGTTTGGACTTATTTCAGTCTTTTCCACGTATATTGATTATGGATTGCACATATAAAACCAACAGATATCGTCTTCCTCTTCTTGAAATTGTGGGAGTGACATCAACTGAAATGACTTTCTCAGTAGCTTTCACATACCTACAGTCTGAGATGGGCGATGACTATGTGTGGGTGTTAGCTACATTGCGTGATGTCATGAATGGTTTTGTTTTGCCAGTGATTATTGTCACTGACAGAGAGCTAGCCTTGATGAATGCCATACAGAGGATATTCCCGAGTGGCAGACATTTATTATGTCGTTGGCATATCAGTAAGAATGTATTGACCAAATGCAAAAAAATGTTTAAGACAAAGCAGAAATAGGAGAAGTTCAACCATGAGTGGAACTCTTTAGTGTATTCATCTTCTAAAATTCAATACAATGAGAGTCTTAAATCATTACTTAAGGAATTCAGTGGTTATCATGATGTAGTCAACTACGTCATGGATAGTTGGTTGGTTCCTTACAAGGAGAAATTTGTGGCGGCATAGACAGACACGTGTATGCATTGTGGCAATGTTACAACCAACCAGTAAGATTAATTTTGTTCAATAAGTTATTAATAAGTGCCATGTACTTGATTTTTATTTGACTTACATTGAATTGAACAGGGCTGAGAGTGCACATACAAAACTTAAAAGACAATTGGGTTCATGTCAAGTCTCATTTGAGGCATCATTTGAGAAAATACACAGTCTGCTTGAGTTGCAAGACACTGATATCAAGGCTTCGTTTGAGAAAAGTCTAACTGTTGTGCAACATCAATTCAAACCTTTTCAGTTCAAGGAGTTACGGGGTAATGTGTCTATTTCGGCATTAGAGTATTTGCTTGTAAAGAGTAAGAGAGCCAATTCCATTGGTATTGATGTTGAAGCTTGTGGATGCGTCCTTCGCCACACTCATGGTTTACTTTGTGCCCCATAAGATTGCTGACTACATCAGACAAGATTTTCCTATCTCCATATGCAACAAAGAAGAGGAAACGGAGGTGATTTCTCATGCAGAAGGAGAGTTATTTGTGAAAAAGTTCAATGAAAGTGATAGAACCACGCAGTTGGAGCTTTTGAAGAAGTTGAAAGAGATTGTATGTCAGGGAAGCACTTTTCTTGTTGAGACGGAGGTGAAGGCCAAAACATGTCCTCGGGTCATAAAAAGATCAATGTTTTTACTCGTCGTGACCCGTGTGCATTTGAGTTGGTGCAATCTGGACATGATTCCTTCTCACCTAGGGACACTCAAATCACTACATTAGCTTATACTCCGAAAACCAAGAAGAAGCGACCTGTTAAGGGAAAAGAGAAAGTGAATGCGAAGGGGAAGGTGTACATTACCAGAATAGTAAAACCTGGCGCATATGTTGATGCTTTCCCTTCTGGATTGAAACCATACATTAAGTTTACCAAGGATGTAGCTGCAGATGAGAATTATGATTTTAGGGCTATAGCTGCTCAATTGGTCATACAAAAGATTGTTGGGCTCAGGTTAGGCGTGATATTTTGGGTGAGCTGCACATACACAAAGAGGAATACTTTACACTTTATGGATCCTATGAAATGTTTGAAGAATTGACAAGCACATTGTCATACTTTGAAAATAGTCCTGGCTACTCACATTGGATGACTATGCCAGACATGGGGCATCTTGTTGCATCATGCTACAATCTTGTGTTATACCACTTGTCATTACAACAATGTCTCACATTTTTACCTCTTAGAACAGTGCCAGTACCTCAACTTGATAGACGTGAGATTATTATTGGGTTTGTCAACGGAAATCATTTCGTCCAGGTATAAGACAAACTTATCATTTTGTGCATGTATAGGAAGTTATGAGGTATGACCACTAATTTAAGTGACATTTGGTGCAGGTTTTTTAGCAGCTAGGTCATCTATTTCCTCCTATAGCCATTAATTGGCGAAAATACCGTCACCCTTGCGCTGTCGACTGGGATGATACATATGTGCGCTGCATTTAGCATTTCAAGGACATCATTCATGATACTGTAGCTACTCGAGAGACATTTGATGTTTTTGATGTCGAATGACACATGTATGCATTTGACAATGTTAGAACTATGGAAGAAATTAATGGATGCGTTTTTTGATGTTGATGTGTCCTGTGGCATGGATTGAATATTATCAACCATTGTTACTACTACATCCTAATAAGAAAATATCATTTACAATGTCATCGACCATTTTTACCATTCCATTCTAATAACAAAATATCTTTTATAATGTCATTACAAGATGTGTACAGCAATGTCAGTTTACAAAAGCACCACAAAAAATTCATCAACTGACAAATTACATGTCACGAATCATCTGTATGCTTACGACTAGGCCTACGACTGTATGTCAATATCGGAGATGAAAAGAGACTTGAAGTACAACTACATCCAACAGAACTAGGTCCAGCTTCGTCACTGTGTTGACCTTCAAGGGCATACACCATAGCCTCAATAGCTTGGTAAAGTTAATGAGGATGTTAAATCCCCTCCTCATAACCAGCCTGAATGGTAGGATGTGCAATCCTTACTACATGTGCAATACACCGCATTTGAAAAGAAGATCACATTTTATGGAACATATCAGAAAAACAAAAGTAAGTTACAAATGCATAAAAGAGGATAATATATTACATCGATATGTTGGTTGAAATGCTAATGTTCATGTACATGTGGTCCATCAGTGCACTCAACATATAGGTGAGTGATATTCTTATACTAATATATCCATATAACCCGGTACACATTCCCAAGGCTGACGAACTGGTGTGCTCCTCCGCGGCTTAGATAACATGTGGTTATCCCAAGCCTCCCAGATCCCATCCAAGTATCTATACATGACTGTATATCGTGCAGATATGTTGCCTCAAGTGCCATGAGTGGGAGCCAACGGTGCATTTGGGATGGTTTGAACCTTGCCAAACTGCTTCAGAACTTTATCTAGATGATAGAGTTCGACCATGTCTAAGCACTTCAAGCATCCATGGTAGAATATAACTGGGTTACATGGATGCCGGTCTCTGTAACTCTGGTATGGATCCCAAATAACCTATAAACGTAAAGTGTTTTTGAATTATAGTATATAAAGGGTAAGATAAATGGAAAGTGTTAAATTACGTTACGACGGGTAAACTTACATCAGTTGCTACCAAACTGTCAAGCTCCGCTCGAAAAGATTTCAAATGATCAAATGATTGGTGGGTCATGCGTTCGTTTCGAAAATGGTAAAAAAAAAACCCTACATTACAAATGAAATAGGAATGAGAATTGAAAAAAGTAAACTAATCTAAGTTCTCCAAATGTGAAGAATTCCTTCAATGATTCACGTGAGATGTCTTTAATGGTTCAATGAGATGTCTTCAATGGATGGATGCAGCTTTTGCGGACGAAAGGTAGACCGTGAGAGATGGGTGTGTGTGTGTGTGTGACAGGGCTAAGAGTGGAATGAGTGTGTGCAAAACCGTTTGGAGAGACAGGTTTGAGGGTTTAGGTGTGTGCGCGCGCGTGTGTGCGTGTGAAGGTAGATGTGGAATAAAAGATGTGTGCAGTGAGCAAAATAAATTGGGATTAATTTGTTAAGTGTGTGTATTGAGAAGAATGTGCACAGAGTAGAATGGGTGTGTGCAAATAGAAGCTCCTTTTTTTAAGACCCCTCTATATTTTTTATTTTTTTAATTCCAATTTTGTCCAAACATAAAATTCCATTTGTATTTCTATCCTTAAGTTTTTAATCCCTAATTTTCCAAACCCTAACCCTAATCCCACCAACCATCCCCATCACCCCAACACCAGCCGTTGCCCTTTATTCTGGCTGGCAACCTCCGCTGCTATCACCAACATCACCCCTAGCCACTAACACTTTCATCATTCCTTACTAATCACCAATAACTCCACCACCTACACCACTCTTAGACTCTCTTTCTCTTTCTTTATCTCTATTTATCTATCCCTCATCAAATCGCAATCGTGATCACAGAAGATCAGTGATAGTGGCGAATCTATACTCTTTGCATGATTGTAGTGCTGCTTACAATTTTTCTAGATTTCTTTTGGTAGTTTAGGGCTGAACCACCACCATTTGTTCGATATTCTACAACCGAACTACCACTGTTTGTTCCGTGGTTTGCATCCAAACTTCCACTGTTTGTTTGGTATTGGTTTTCTAAACCAAGCGAGACGATTTCAAATGAAGAAAAATTGAACATGAGCATCAGAGAAAGGGCTCCAAGGTAGTTATATGGTTGATAATAATGGCAAATGACTGAGATTCGTATAATGAGAGATTTGGGTGAAAGAAACGAAGTAAATGATTGCCCGTGGAAGAAAGGGAAGCACATTGGAGCTAAGGAGGTGGGTCATCGAAAAAGAAAAGTTGTCGATAAGAGAGGGGGGTTGAAAAAGGGTCTCTAGTGGAGGAGAAAGACTGTGAGAGGGTTACCGGTAAAGGAAAGGGTTGCCGGAGATGAGGGGAGATTGTAGATTGAAAAGTGTTGGGACGAGAGTTTAAAGGGCATATTTAGAATAATGAAAGGGATCCAAAGAAAAATAAGAAATGGAGCAATTTTGGTGATGGAAGTTTAAAAAAGTGGGAGTTCTACGGGAAAAAAAAAGGGACATATAGTAATTTCTTTTTTATATTCATTATGAGTCATTCATTTCACAATAAAATATTATTAAAAATGAATTTCTTTACAATAATGATAATGCGACATTATTCTTGTGAATTTTTTTTTTTAAGTAATAAATTTTATGTGTGTGTTTACGTATTTTCCTTGGGTAAAAATCAATTTGGAGTCCAAACCGGGGAACTCTGGTCTTCCGCAGAAAAACCCTAGTACGCGTTCTCTCTCTTCCTCTCTCCATTTTTCAATGCAGTAATGGTTGAGGGCCACAATTTTTGTGGCTCAAATAGCTCGAAATTGTCAAAACGACGTCGTTTTGAGTACAAAACAACTTCAAAATTGCCAAAACGACGTCGTTTTGGCAATTTTGAGCCATTTGAACCACAAAAATTGTGGCCCTCAAACATTTTTCTTTTCAATGTTACGTTTTTTGCTTCCATTTGGCAGATTGAAATTGGAGTGAGAGAGTGTTTTTTGTTCATTTATCAAATTTTGGAAATAATATTTTATTCTCAAATGATTTTAAATTTTTTTATTGTCTATGAATCTGCCTGCAATTGAAGGAAGGAAGGAAGGAAATCGACTGACTGAAGACTCAAGTACATGGCGGAACTGAGGCTGGGTGTTCTAATAGACATTGTAGATGAAGAATGGATGCGAGACACTCTTCTCAATGATGGTAATTTCACCATTTCATTTGTAGCTTACCCATATCCATTTTCAAATAAAAAAAAAGGGTTGAAATTGGGTTTTTTTCACTATCTCAGATCTTCCTTTGCCGCCTGTGATGATTTCTCGGATTGATGACACTGAAGATTCAAGTATGTGTTTCCCATTCTACATAAATTAACTTTCATTAGTTTGATAATGATGATGATGATGATATTTGGAAGTGTCTATGGTTTTTTTTTTTTTTTATTATGTGTTTGATCATTGAGTTATGTCCTTATTTATCAATCAAAGGTTTTGGTTGGGAAAATATAATTCAAATCTCAAGGATGGGTTGGAAATTCCAAGGTGTATTTTTGTAAGCATTGTGGTTTTTCCAGTTTTTTGGAACACACAAGTATTGGCAAATAACTTTTGTGAGGCCTTGTTTTGGATCACCTATTGGTTGAGATATATTCTATGCTTATTGTCTGGAATTGTCCTGTTGAAGAAGTTAAAATTTCACCCAAGTCAATGATTTTAGTACTAATCTACAACCTATGAAACACAAACACTTCTAAGAATGTGGAATGCTGTGTCGGACAACAGACACTTCAGACACTTTGGTAAGCACGTGTTTATAGCTTAAACACACATGAAAGACCTTACAAGTTTAATAAAATAACTTGGCATTCAAAGATAAAATAAAAGCAACATAAATTTATTCATATTCTACCTCCTTAAACTTCAAAAATTATTATCATTGAAATAAATGTTCATAAAATAATCCATTATCCTTATATATGCTAACTATATATTTTGTGTGTACCTCACTTGTCTTGCCCTATATTTTTTGAAATTTCTTATGTTAGCGTGCCCATGTCGTGTCGCGTGTATGTGCTAGTGCTTCGTAGTCTACAACAATGCATGGAGGTGTTGCAAATGGGTTTCAGAATTTCCGTTCTTACTTTTATCGGTTGTTGTGAATGAAAGAAGAAAATTAGAAAAGAACTCAGGTTATATGGCCTTGAATGTACGAAATAAAGAAAAAGAAAAGGATAATGACTACTTTTGTTTAAATACTCAAGTTTTTGGTTAATGATGTCATTAAATTTAAAGCACATTCCTGGCATGTTTACCGAATTATTTACTTTAGTGTTTTCCCATTGTGAAATTGTTCTGTTTATCAGTTCAGGAGAACCAACAAGTTGAGGGAGATACTTGGCATGATCTTGCTTTGGGAACTCATCAATAAGACTTTGTGGGTGATACTAGCTACCTTTGATTCTCATTGTAACCAAAAACGGTGTTTGATTTAATGTAGCTGGTCATTTCTGTGTGGTTTAATGCTTCTTTTTCTTTTCTTTTCTTTTCTTTTCTTATTGTTTTGGGGTGGAAAAATTGGATCTGAAGTTCAGATATATATGCTTCTTGTTACAACTACCAGATATCCATTTATTAATGTTTGATGGTAATGCTTATTATTTCGACTAGACTTACTTGAACCGGTTTTCTCTTGAGTTTTGAAGGTGTACTTGTTGCAGTTTGTTTTACAAATTCTAGTTTAGTAACTATAGTTGCATGGCTTCCCGAGCCTTGTATTGCAATCTTTGCTTGCAATATTTCATTCTAACTGTAGTGTGGATTGAATAGTAATGTGTTCAAAGCTTGCATTCGTTTAGGGTTCATTATGTATGCATCACAGTTTAGGGTTCAACAGTGTTACAAAGCTGATGCTTCCATTCGTTCATTCACCCTTCATCTCTAATTTTCTTTTCCTTCTCTTTTATGTAGTTTTTTTAGCATTAGCTTTTTTGTTATTTTTAGTCAATAAGTGAACTCTCAATTTCTATTTTTTTTTCTCCATAGTTTTAGGGGTTTTGCTTAAGTGTGCAACCCCCTTAAGGTTGCACACCATATGCATTCCTGCTATTCAGCACTGTTATGCTTTGGCCAAATCCTCCGGTCAGCAAAGGGGCTATTTTCTCAGGGCTAAGGACACTGATCATCATTTGGTAACTATGCTTGCCAGCTCTGGCAAGCGGGTTGATGATGTAATGGTCATTGTCCGAGGTAATTAGGAATTTGGCAAGGGCGAAGACCGCTTTGACCCTATACCTAGACGGAGAGGCGAACCAGGTTGCCACGTAGCTTCTTTCACTTATTTAATCTTCGTTTACTCGACTTTCTCTCTAAGTAATCTTTTTATTTGTGCAGGCAACCATTTGAACGCGGTTCTTGCGGAAATCAAAACCGCGCTCTAGTTTTTTGGCCATCCCAATATCCAGAAACAGGGGAGAGCCGCCCATATACTTCTGAGATATGAGCCAACTTATACAACATTCTCGGCCGCGGAAAACATCCCGATTCCACGTAGTGAACAACATCTCATGGCTCTCATCTTCCCTCGCTTCAAAAGTCTTAGGCAGATCAGTTTCGAAGCTTCTGATTCGGACCAAGCCGAAGAGCCAGTCACCGAGGAGATCGTTGAACAGCCGAGCCAGTTTGCTTTAGAAGCTGAAGTCGACGAGGCTCTTAACTCGGCGTTCGAAACAGCAGGCCTTAATTAGGACAACTTTCCCTCCACTTCAGGTCGGGGGGAAGTTTTTTTTGAAGATATATATTTTGGTTTGGGAGACCTCCCTGGCTCCTATTCGGAGGACATGACTGGGGAAACGCTCTCACAAATGGCACGAAGGAAAACGCCGAACGGATGGCCGCCCGACGAAGAGCCGAGACCATCTGTTTCGAACCTCCAACTGAATCTCTTGAGCCTATTATTATAAAAGAAACGACTGAAATTGAGGTGGCCGAGACGGACGAGAGTTTAAAGGGCATATTTAGAATAATGAAAGGGATCCAAAGAAAAATAAGAAATGGAGCAATTTTGGTGATGGAAGTTTAAAAAAGTGGGAGTTCTACGGAAAAAAAAATAGGGACATTTAGCAAATTTTTTTTTATATTTATTATGAATCATCCATTTTATAATAAAATATTATTAAAAATGAATTTATTTACAATAATGATAATGGGATATTATTCTTGTGAATTTTTTTTTTAGTAATAAATTTTATGTGTGTGTGTTTACGTATTTTCCTTGGGTAAAAATCAATTTGGAGTCCAAACCGGTGAACTCTGGTCTTCCGCAGAAAAACCCTAGTACGCGTTCTCTCTCTTCCTCTCTCCGTTTTTTGCTTCTATTTGGCAGATTGAAATTGGAGTGAGAGAGTGTTTTTTGTTCATTTATCAAATTTTGGAAATAATATTTTATTCTCAAATGATTTTAAATTTTTTTATTGTCTATGAATCTGCTGCAATTGAAGGAAGGAAGGAAATCGACTGACTGAAGACTCAAGTACATGGCGGAACTGAGGCTGGGTGTTCTAATAGACATTGTAGATGAAGAATGGATGCGAGACACTCTTCCCAATGATGGTAATTTCACCATTTCATTTGTAGCTTACCCATATCCATTTTCAAATTTAAAAAAAAAAAAAAATGGTTGAAATTGGGTTTTCTTCACTGTCTCAGATCTTCCTTTGCCGCCTGTGATGATTTCTCGGACAGATGACACTGAAGATTCAAGTATGTGTTTCCCATTCTACATAAATTAACTTTCATTAGTCTGATAATGATGATGATGATGATGATATTTGGAAGTGTCCAAGGTTTTTTTTTTTTATTATGTGTTTGATCATTGAGTTATGTCCTTATTTATCAATCAAAGGTTTTGGTTGGGAAAATATAATTCAAATCTCAAGGATGGGTTGGAAATTCCAAGGTGTATTTTTGTAAGCATTGTGGTTTTTCCAGTTTTTTGGAACACACAAGTATTGGCAAATAACTTTTGTGAGGCCTTGTTTTGGATCACCTATTGGTTGAGATATATTCTATGCTTATTGTCTGGAATTGTCCTGTTGAAGAAGTTAAAATTTCACCCAAGTCAATGATTTTAGTACTAATCTACAACCTATGAAACACAAACACTTCTAAGAATGTGGAATGCTGTGTCGGACAACAGACACTTCAGACACTTTGGTAAGCACGTGTTTATAGCTTAAACACACATGAAAGACCTTACAGGTTTAATAAAATAACTTGGAATCCAAAGATAAAATAAAAGCAACATAAATTTATTCATATTCTACCTTCTTAAACTTCAAAAATTATTATCATTGACATAAATGTTCATAAAATAATCCATTATCCTTATATATGCTATCTATATATTTTGTGTGTACCTCACTTGTCTTGCCCTATATTTTTTGAAATTTCTTATGTTAGCGTGCCCATGTCGTGTCGCGTGTATGTGCTAGTGCTTCGTAGTCTACAACAATGCATGGAGGTGTTGCAAATGGGTTTCAGAATTTCCGTTCTTACTTTTATCGGTTGTTGTGAATGAAAGAAGAAAATTAGAAAAGAACTCAGGTTATATGGCCTCAAATGTACGAAATAAAGAAAAAGAAAAGGATGATGACTACTTTTGTTTAAATACTCAAGTTTTTGGTTAATGATGTTATTAAATTTAAAGCACATTCCTGGCATGTTTACCGAATTATTTACTTTAGTGTTTTCCCATTGTGAAATTGCTCTGTTTATCAGTTCAGGAGAACCAACAAGTTGAGGGAGATACTTGGCATGATCTTGCTTTGGGAACTCATCAATAAGACTTTGTGGGTGATACTAGCTACCTTTGATTCTCATTGTAACCAAAAACGGTGTTTGATTTAATGTAGCTGGTCATTTCTGTGTGGTTTAATGCTTCTTTTTCTTTTATTTTCTTTTCTTATTGTCTTGGGGTGGAAAAATTGGATCTGAAGTTCAGATATATATGCTTCTTGTTACAACTACCAGATATCCATTTATTAATGTTTGATGGTAATGCTTATTATTTCGACTAGACTTACTTGAACCGGTTTTCTCTTGAGTTTTGAAGGTGTACTTGTTGCAGTTTGTTTTACAAATTCTAGTTTAGTAACTATAGTTGCATGGCTTCCCGAGCCTTGTATTGCAATCTTTGCTTGCAATATTTCATTCTAACTGTAGTGTGGATTGAATAGTAATGTGTTCAAAGCTTGCATTCGTTTAGGGTTCATTATGTATGCATCACAGTTTAGGGTTCAACAGTGGTACAAAGCTGATGCTTCCATTCGTGCATTCACCCTTCATCTCTAATTTTCTTTTCCTTCTCTTTTATGTAGTTTTTTTAGCATTAGCTTTTTTGTTATTTTTAGTCAATAAGTGAACTCTCAATTTCTATTTTTTTTTCTCCATAGTTTTAGGGGTTTTGCTTAAGTGTGCAACCCCCTTAAGGTTGCACACCATATGCAACCCAATTGTTAGCCGTTAGATTACAATAATTGATCAAGACCATTGAATTGTTCAATCGTGAAAAAGTTGAAACTGGGGCAACCGGTTAATGCTTGTATTTGCATGATTGCATCCCACTCACTCTTTGTATTTCGTCTCTATCTCTCTCTGTTCTCCTCTCAGTGTAAGGTTGAGTCAGTGTAACTGTTGATTTCCATTAACAGGGAGAAGCTCCTGTTGGGTTCGTTCCATTGACGAAGCTTTGTAGGGAACAGTATAACGGGCGATTTCCAACAACAACGTAACTACAAGGCTGTGTTGGTTCCATTGCTGAAGTGAAGCCCTTCTCTCGAACTAGATATGAGGTATGGAGCTGTCTCCCTCTCTCTGTCTCCCTCTCTGTCTCTCTGGCCCGTTCACTTCAGCTATTTTCCCTCAACTAAACCCCCATCCTAACTTCAACCGCTCTACGCTTCGCTCCAACGGAAACCCCTCCATTGGCAGCTAACCTTTCTCTTTCTCTTTCTCAAGCGAGTGTTTGTGTTTGCACAAACAGGTAAACCGTGTGAAAATGTCATGTTTGTGTTTGGGTTAACAATTTTCGGTCATCAAGTAATTGTTGGTAGTAATGTCATGTGCAGTATGGCCCCAGCGGAAGTTAAAAGGGAAGGTGATGATTATGAAATTCCAAATGAAGCAAATGACATTCGTTTGATGAATGAAAGTCGGGCAGAACCTGACTCCTTTCCAATTATTACCCTGCCCTAGTCAAGATCTTCCTTGAGTGATATCATAGAAGATCACATAAAATATTTTCTCTTTACTAGAGTGTGATTGTGATAAATCCGTAATTGAACATTCGCATGTCTCCGTGCACATATCACTAGGCCCAATTAATGAGATCATATTTCATAGTTAAAACATAAACACAAATTATAAGTAAACCTTAGTTCCGCAAACACAGAATAATCGTGATACTCTCAAGGATTACATGCATAACCTAAGAAACACAGATGCAGATGCATGACAAGACACAATCATGCTGATACAAAAAATTTCAAAAAATGTAAGACACGACAGGTGGGCAACCAAACCAAACCTTAAGTCTCATCAAATAGGGTCGCCTACATGAATCTTTCTTCTCCCCTCGACTCTATCAACGGCCGTTTGGTTAGTCAAATTAAAGAGATTTATATCTCTATTTACTACACTAACCCACGTTAATTTAGGTCTACCACTTCCTCTAATACTTCCATCTACCGTCACTGTATCACATCTCTTCATTATTGCCTCCGTTGGTCTCCTATTGTATATGACCAAACCATCACAATCTATTCTCTCTCAACTTTTTTTCTATCGATATTACTCCTACCCATTCACGAATATACTCATTCCTAACTCTGTTTTTTCTAGTTTCGCCACACATCCACCTTAGCATCCTCATCTCACCAACACTATTGTTTCTTAGTTGCCCAACATTCCGTCTTATACAATATCGTTGTCTAATACCCATTCTATAGAATTTTCTTTTTAATCTAGTGGGTACTCGTTTATCACACAATACCTCAAATGCACTCCTCTACTTAAGCCACCCCGCCTTAATTCTATAAACCGCATCCGCTCCAATCTCTCCAGCCGTTGTGATAATCGACACGGATCTATAGGTGAATCTATTGTGGAAGTGAATTTCTAGTGAATCACACGATTCACAATCGATTCACTTTTTACGATTCATGCAATTCTTAAAACTATCATGTTCGACATATTTCAATTCATTTTTTTAATTAAAATGACATAATACAACTTCTAATAGTGTTTAGAACGAAAACAACAAATATATATATATATGATTTGTTGTCATTTTGGAAATCAATAAGTTTTTAATAAGATCCAATCAGATTCAGTCAGACCTAATACATTTTTAACATTTTCTTCTCATTTTTTTTCTCTTAAAGAAGATCACAACATATATTCTAAAGATTTTTAAGGTTAAAATAACTAGTGTTACGAATTATCTATTACTATTTTATTGAAATAAATATACTTCAATATTACATGGGTAAAGTCAGTTAAATCTAATGATTTTACAAGTTCTTTATTATTGGGTCATTGTTACTTATAAAGGAATGTATGCTTATGAAATATATCAGCATCATTGATAAGTTATTGTTACGTGAAAATTGAGAGTTTATCTTTGTTTACTTTCTTTATTAAGAATGGTTGATAAACTATATCTAAAAAAGAGAAAAGATAAGATGGTGATCTTATGTAAGAACTTGTGTTAACTTCTTACTTATTAGACCACGTAATCATCATTCAAAATAACATTTTCATTAATTTAATTTAAATATTTTATATTTATAAGATATATTTAACATTCAAGTGTGTATATATATTTTTCTAAGTAATTTAGAAAAAGTGACTAAATCTTTACAATTCACGATTCGATTCGTGATTCGATACAAGGCCATTTCGATTCACGATTTAACAACTATGAGGATAAGTAATTATTATAGGAAAAAGATCATTTAAGTGGAAAATATGAAAAATATTTTCATATTAGTGACAAATTTGCAACATTAAAAAATAAACTCAAAACTTTTC